TTTGGAAAAAATGAGACAGCTAGGGCTTTAGGATTACACTGATGTTTCAAGCAGAGATAAAAGGCGAAGTAGCTCTGTACTTCTCCTCACCTTTAATGGCCTCTTTCAATAAATATTTATCGCGCACCTACTAAGTGCCAGGTACTAGTCTAGGTCCTGGAATTGAACTGGTCAACAAGACGTACAAAGACTTGGCTGTCATAGCACTTAGACTTTAGTTAGGGGAGGGTAGACCAGAGACAAATACACTTTAAGATTTTTCTGGACGTTACTATGCTACAAGGAAAATAAAAGAAGCTAATATGATAGAGAATGACTGTTGAGGAGGGACTGAAGAATGTGATTCACAGAAGACGACATGTGATCTGAGGAATGAATGGCCAGAGTGAACAAACCATGAAAAAAACCCTTGGGAAAGAGCTTCCAGGAAAAGGATACAGCAGTGCAAAGATCCTGAGGGGGTGGAAATTAGCAAGAAATCCAATATTCCTAGAACTCAGAGGGAGCCAGGTCAAACTAATCTGCTAGGAACAGGAAGATGATGGTGCCCTAGGATTACTATGAAGGGGAATCTGGAAATATGCTCCTAGCTGTCATGGAATTAAAGAAGTTTTTGTATTTTTTTTTTTTAAAGAGAGAGAGTGAGAGAGAGAGAGAAAGAGAGAATTTTTAATATTTATTTTTCAGTTTTCGGCAGACACAACATCTTTGTTTGTATGTGGTGCTGAGGATCGAACCCGGCTGTACGCATGCCAGGCAAGCGCGCTACCGCTGGAGCCACATCCCCAGCTCCAAGGTTTTGTATTTTAAATGTTAAACAAACACTTCTCTTGTTAAAAGTAACCACCTTATTGTAACTCCTTATCCATTAAAAAACAGTACATTTCTTGATTCCTTTTGTTTGATGCTTTGTGGCAATGACTTCATCAGCAGCAGCAGATCACATTTTGTAATACCTGCTCACTGAAAATTAGTTCACTTTGAATTTCATTGAGATCCAAATGGTCTATCAGGCATTGGATTATTCCAGTGCCATCAAATAGGGTCTAACGAATGACATAAACTTGTCTATGAATTTTCTAAAAGGGGAATTCTTATTCCATATATTTTTTAAAAAGTTATATGACATGTTCCTTTATTTCGGCTTTGGATAATTAAAAAAAATTCTTGCATTGATTTGTTTTATCATTCTAACTGGACATCTAGGATTAATAGTGATAGTACTAGTACCATTACCTCTAAGCAGTTTTGATTTGTCTGAATAACTGAGTGCCTAAGGAAGGAAAGAGCCAAGGACAAAGCCATGGTTTTGGTAGGTGTGAAATCTACCCCTGGGGGCTACTCCTGAGGCGGGGAGATAGCTGCTCAGCTTCAGCCCCCATTGATCACTCACAGCCCTTTCATAAGTCATCTCAGAAAAGGGCAGTCCATGTGACTATGGGCCTTCTGTGATAAGGCCCTGTCCACTGGAAAGGGGAATCTGCTCACAATTTCATTTCACAGGGTCCACCAGATGGCAAATGACTTTATCTACCCCGACCAGATCCAGACTGGGAACTGAATTGCATTCTATGTCCCCATACACTCTGCTACAAGACTTGGATCTGTCTTTTGATAGTTGCTAACCAAGTGTGTGTGTGTGTGTGTGTGTGTGTGTGTGTGTGTATGTGTGTGTCTATGAAAGAGTGGTGGGGGTGGGAGAGGGAGAGAAAGAGAGTTTGGTTATCCATTATGCTACAGTTCTAAATGCAGAAGTTCTCACAACCATGAAAAATTTTTTTCCCAATTATATCTGGCAAATCTAGTTAGAAATCAATGGCTTCCAAAAAATAAAAACTAGGATAGTAATGGCAGAATACAGATACAGTAGCTGCAGTGATGGACATCCAACAAGATGTAAATGAGTTGATGGAATATTTGTGGGAAAAAGGTCTGAGAAGAGGATTGAGAAAGACTAAGAGAAAAACGAAATGCCTTCATTATTCAAGAAACTCTGAGTAACCTTCATTTAGTCACACTGGAATTACAATTGCAGCTCACATCATTTGTGAAAGAGGAAATAGGGAATGTGACCATGGAAAGTGGTATTTTAAGCTCCAACACATACCGCTCATCACTGACTTGACTTGCAGGGTATCTTTCAACCAAAAAAAAAAAAAAAAAAAACAACCACATAGTGATTTAATCTCAACAGTAATTTAGTCTGCAGACATATGAGACAAGACTATCATTGCAGACAGGCTGTAATTTGTAAAATTCAGGTGCTGGGGATTAGGACCACCTGTTGAATTTAATCTTGGAGTTATAATGTTAATACCATCATATAACTGAACATAAACACTACATATTTATCAGTCTTTGGGACCTCCAGCTATGGAGATGTGAACCGTTTCCTAAATAGTATGTGTAACTCTCTCAAGACTCTGTAAATCAATGGCAAATAAAAAGTCTGTTGGAATTCTGATTCAATATGCAGCAGCATATGGCTTCGTGGTCATCACATTCAGCAGATCCTATAATTTTTCTGAGGCCTGATGTGAGAGTGAAAAAAAAAAAAGCAATCTGAGTATCATCTGGCAATATAATAAGAATACGAAGGCTTTCATTTCTTACCCTCCCTGGTGTTAATCATGGAAAACAATTCTTAGCAATATTTTGACAAATGATTTTCGCATCTGCCTAAGAAAGACTATAAGAAGATGTCAAACAAAACCTAATAAAACAGCAAGTTTTGGAGTAGACATAAAAATTTTACACATGCACCTTCAGATGGCCAAAGGAAATGCAACTCTGCCTAATTTCCAGACAGCTAAATAGTAGCAGTAAAGAGGTTCGGTGAATACATTTTGAGCAGAAGTTATATTTAGTTCTGTGGGACAATTTGGGATATTGAGTAAAGAGAAAATATGGATTTTAAATTTGGATTTGTTCCTTTGCTTGGAACAGGGTAAACTTCCTTGAGAACTTGGATATGGAATTTTGTGATATGTTGGTTTTCTATGAAAGAATTCTCCCATTGATAATGATAATGATTTGCATAGAAGATCTTTTTCTTGCCAAGAATTCCAAAGATTTTCACACAATATTTATCATTCACATAGCACTTCACAGTTTATAAAATTCTTTAACTACAAATTATTTATTTTTTTCATGTAGAGTTTCAATGCTTCTTCCAAAGTAGAAAAGGGATGTTCTTAATTTTAACTGTATAAGGTCTGATACATTGAAAATAGATAGAATTAAACGTCTGAGTGAATAAACATTATTTCGAAAAGGAGAAACTATCAATATTATTAACTGGTATCTGTGTAGCAGCAGAATACAAAAAGGAAAGTATTAGAAATATCTTGCCAAAAGCAGATCAAATCTTTCAGTAAATCGATCTTTTTGGCATTCCTATTAATCAAAACTTCACAAATGTTAGATAGCCATTTCCACTCAACAATTGCCATGAAAATCTACAAGTTCAATTCATCAGACACAAGTACACATAAACATTATATACATTCATAGTCAGAAGCCAATGTCAAAACTTTCCTAGAACTTCAGCCCTTATGGGTTGATTGCACAAGCAGATCCAAAGTATATCGTCAATTGACAACCAAGAAAGAAAGCTGAAACTGTGATTATAAAACCTACCACCTTCTGATTCTGGATTTTAAGTCAACCAGACCCCACCCCCCAACAAAATAATCTTTTTATACTCAAATTGCCCCCTCCTTTCTGCTTCCCTGAAATTTCAGTACAAGTTCCACCTTCTCAAAGAAACCTCCCATGCTCCTTCTGAGAGGACTGTGGTCTTTCTTCCTTTCTGCACCCCACAGTACTGTTTATACCTAACATTTAATATACATTTATGTCTATGGGTTTGTCTGTCTATACATATTTCAGGACACATTGCACCTCCACACCCAGGCCTTCTAAGATCCCCAAAGATGGGGTTTTGCCTTGAATTCTTTTGAGCCCACCAAATCCTTAGCATTATTCATTGCACAGGTGAATGGCAATATTTTTATTGTCACTTTTTAAAAGTTTGGTTTTATCATGCAAGCTAAGAGCTGTTTTCATACAAAAGGAGCATCTGTGAAATATTACTTTAATTCACAACCATAAAATTTGGAAATATAAAAAGTAAAAGAGTTGGGAAATTTCAAGAAATTCTGTAGCTTTATAGAGTAGATACAGAGTGGAAGTATGCTTTAATAAAAATATATTAGCATCTTCAAATAGTGAGGGATGCATTTAAACTGCATTAAAATTATCTTCAAAATCAGGAAACTTGATTAGGATTCTCCCAAAGGCTTCATACACTGAAACCAGAGATTTATTATACCAGGGAAAGAAGGCTCAATTTAAAAAAAAATTCATCTTATTAATTATGAGCCAACATGCAGCACTTCCCGGAAGGCAGAGGAAAACAGGCTTTCAAGCCAATAGAAGCTGAGTTTGTGCCTCAAGTCTTCCGCGCCTGCCTGGGCACCGCTCCCCAGGGCTGAGGTAATTCAGCCCACAGCAATCCGGAGGAAAGATCAGAGGGGAACCTGCGAGGCTGAGCAGCGACCACTGGCTAGGTTGGCTGCGTCTTCCCCTCTGGTTCCGAAGGGAGGAATGCTGGGGCTGTTCCTCGCACCCTCTGGGTTTTCCTCTCATCAGGGCGAGACTTGGTTGCCAAACCTAAGGTTTAAGCAACTGGACACACACCATTAGCTGCAATCCCGGTACTCAGAGGATTCTAGTTTCAGGACCGGTTCCTGCTAGGGAATTAGGCTTTGGGATCCAGTCACCGCATCCCTATTCCCTGAAAAACTTTGCATCCTTCTCCAAATAGGAATTCCTACCAAGTAGGAAGTAGCCCACTCCACCCCAGCTGGTCCACTTCACATTCCAACCTCCGAGAACGGCACCTACTCACGGCGCCTCCCAGACCCGGGAAAGGGGAAGGCTCAGGTGTGCAGGATCCCCAGGCTGAGTGGCGGGCAGGGTGGCGGGCAAGCAGTCACCTTGTGGTCCGCAACGCCAAGGTATCCGTCCAGCGGCCGCGGTCCCGCGGGGGCTACAAGGCGCGGCTGGGGGCTGCTCTCCGCCGCCGGCTGCGCGCTGCTGGTCACGGGCGCCTGTTGTTGCTGCTGCTGCGGGGGCCGCTCCTTCTGGCCGCCGAGGCTGCTGTACACGAGCAACAAGCTGGTGCACATGGTGGTGAGCGCTAAACACACTGCCAGACCATGGCGCTGCGGGCGGGCGGGAGAAAGAAGAGAACAGCTGAGTGTGGACCTGGGAAGAAGGTGCCCCGCGTGGACACGGGTACAGCGGTCCCGCCGGCGGGGGAGCTCCACCCGCGGGGGGTGGCCGGGGTCCCAGCTCCGCTGCGCGCAGCCGGGGCAGAAGAGGCATCTTCCCAGCGAGTACGGCAGGGGATGCTCCCTGCGCGTCGCTGCTCTCGGCCGCCGCTGCAGCCCCGATCTCTCGGTAGAGGGCAGGTAGTGCGCTGCACCCAGCTGAGGGAGGGAGAGCGCGCCCGCGGCGAGGGCATGGGTGGGTTTGCACTTTGGGGAGGGGACCCTCTGCCACAGCCGGCTGCTGGAATCTTTAGTCCGTGCACGCCCTCTTTCCTGGGCCCCTGGGGCTCTACCCCTGAGATCCTTGCAAGTTTGAAATCCGGCAAGGAAACCAAGAAAGTCTGCAAAGGTCCCCCCTCCCCGCCCCTCTTCGTATTTGTCAGACTGTTGCTTTTGAGCATCCCCCTGCCCTAGAGCAATCTCCCCACTTGTTCACCGCTCCTCCAGCTCTCCGCCGGCCCCTCGGACTACTCGCTGGAGATTCGGGAGCCGAGGCAACCCGAGTACTCCTCCCGGATTCTGAGCCAGGCAAAGCCTGGGAATCAGAAGGGGGCGCGGAGCAGGTGGAAAGTTGTCCCTTTGTAACAGGCGACCTCGCGACACAGGTTTAGGCACCGCTCGCGTCTCTCCGGTGCACCCTGGGTACGGTGAGCTTGAGGGTTCTCGCTTCTGCCCAGCAGAGTTGCAACAACTGACTCACCATCAGGGTCTTCATTTTGGGCACCTCTTTTGTGCGGAATCCTCAGGCACGCGCGTCCGGGGCCACTTTTTCTTGGAGGGTTTCCATGGTGGGTGACAGAGCAGAGGCGGATCCGATTTTTGCCCGGCAGCTGGCCGCGGCTGAGCGAGTGCGGGAGCCGCGGGACACGGGAAGCGCTGCTGTTGCAGAGATTAGAGACAGAATTAAAACTGAACCGGACCCTCGTAGTCTCTCAGTGATCTACACAACTGCCGCCTGCCGCCGCCTGCTGGGTCCTAAAGACCTCATCATACCCCCACCCCGCCCCCAAATAGTAATCTTTTCAGCTGACTGAAATTTCTGGGGCGAGAGAGTTAACCTTGTCGCTGTACCCCCTTCTTGGTTCAAGGACTTATTTATTTTTCATGAAGTCAACAAACAAAAAGGAAGGAGATCCCAATTGGATCTTGAATGTGATAGCGATTTGAAAATTTGCAAACTAAATTTCATGTTTTGTGATTTTGATAAAAACAAGTCAAAGCCCTATTTATATAGCTTTTGCATTTTATGTTCACGGCCTGGAGAAATCTATCATGAGATTGTTTTTCCTAAACTATTGTATTATTTCAGTTTTCCAGTTGTTCTAATTTACTCTTCCCCCTTAGTTTTACTTTTCCATATTTATGCAATTCTCATGCAATCTTTAGATCATAATATTTCATTTAAATTATGTCATTCATTATTTGCTTCAAAGATTAACATTTATATTTCGACCTGATCTTTGAGGTTCCTAATGTTCATCTAAGTGATTTTAAAGTTTTTTTCTTTTTTTTAACTTTTGGCACATCTTATTCATGTGATTAACTGAACCTGTAGATTCTTCCTAATTTTAATGAAGAATTTCTGGCTTCTAGAGATGGAACTGCTATGGTTTATTTCATAAGAATCCTAATGAATTTGGTTCTTTCGTGGTGTTGCCTGTTGATCTGAAAGGGCATGATTTCACATTCAGAACTTTGATTAAAATTAAAAACATCATTATTGTTCAGTGTTGGGCAATTCACAATAGCCTGTTTAACAATACTCTCTTCCCTGCATTAAATTACAAGTGGCATTTGTTAAATATCTAATTTAGCTAAAAACATATTTCTTGTTAAATTGCTCAGTGAAAATAGTTGTCTTAATGTGTTACTTAACACTTCACCTGTAGCAGTGTAATGTTAAAGATTACATTAAGATGGAAATGATCAACAGGCCAACTGAACCATGGGCACAATAAGAGCTTTCTCAAGGCCAAAAAAGGCATTACAATCCTTTTTTAATCTTCACTAATCTAATGCTGGACTGATGATACAACAGGAACTATTTTTAACTTATGAGGCATCCTTCCATACTTCATATTAAGAAAGCTAAAATGATTGGTTCAATAATGAATATCAGTGCAACTTGTTAGGGAGAGGGCAAAAAACCTATGTGATTTAGCCTTTCAAGGAAAAGCAAAAAAAATTGAAAACACTGTCCAACACTGCCATCCTTGAAGCTATTTATTCAATTTGTGCTTTAGGCATGAATAGTACCAGTTGTTAGGGCAGGAAAAGCAGCAGCCAGAGGAGAATCTTATCGAGTCTTGGCAATTCTTTATTGTATGGTTGCACTTGACACTCAAATTAATGAAACAAAGGACCAACTTGATGAATCATTGCAAGCAGATTATCTGTGTTTCTCTAGGGTTCTTTTTGAGATGCTACTAGACGCAGCTCTTGCATTTTTCAGGATTGTTCTCCCTCCATCTAGCAAGTTGCCCAGTGACCGATAAAACACTTCTAATATATTTTGCCATGCCAAACAGAGCCATCATATTTATGATTTAAACTCATGGCAGCACGTTGGACATCTGTTACACGATATGTTTGACCAAATTCATTAAGCTTATGCTTTTTCCCCCTCCTCGGATAGCAGTTAGTTACTTGCAAAATCTACTTATGAAATGGCCAGGATAAATTTAAAAATTTAACTCTGAGCTTCATTTGAATGACTTCAAAGTGTCTGACTTTCAAATGTTTTATTAGATTGATGCCACTATTTTAGGCATTCTGATCTGAGAGCCAAATGGACAAGGTCTGGTTGTGGGGGGGCATATAAATAAAACAAATAAGACAAGTTAATTCAATTTGATGGTGATTTAATGATCACTTGTTACCTGATGAGTCTGCATTAGAGAACACAGAGATGAATAAAACAGAGATTTTCAATCTCTGAGGGTTTAGAACCTACTGTGTGTGTGTGTGTGTGTGTGTGTGTGTGTGTGTGTCTAATGAGACAAGTCCATGAATAGGTAATTTCAGACAGAGTACTATAGATTCAGCATATATTTATCAAATACCTACTGTGTTAAGCATCTACTCTGTTAAGCACCTACTATGTGCCAGGCATTGGGAACTTCTATCTCTAAGGAATTCATAGTCTGTTCCCAGATAAGTACTATGAGCTTTTATATTATAAAGAACTAGGATCAATCAACTAGTTTGTTTTTCAACTTTAGACAGTCTGTTTATTTAAGATCTGAGAGGTTTGAGATTTCAAGGGCATCCATCTACATTTATGCAACTTTATGTACACCTTTAAGTTAATAATAATCTGAATAGCCAGAAACAGCAGAAAATAGGTAGGCAGCATTCACAAATACTTGATTGACTTGGAGACAAGCAGACAGGTAGACAAGTCAATGAAGCATTTTTAGTTCATCTAACTTGCACAGTTCAATACAAAATGAGTGGAGGAATCACAATTTGCTTCTCAAAACCCAAGTAGCTGAGATGGATTTCTCACCATTTAAAATTTTGCCACATTTCTGCCTCTGGTGCTATCACATCCAATCAAATAGTTTCCTATTTTTGAAGAAAAAAAAAGAAAGAAAGGAATAGAATTGAAAAGAAATTGAGTGTTCTACAATGTAGGTTATGTGATAAAATGAAGCTGGGAATTTATGAAACAAGGCATGTCATGGGGCGATGAGGGAACAGGTAGAACAGCTCGGAGGGAAGGCTAGCTTTGCACAAGGCCAGAACTATCAAAGGAGGAAGAAAGGGTTCTGGAAATCCAGGAGCCCTGCCCCAATTCTAAATTGACTAATAACTCAGAAACAAGCATTTCACAATTTCAAAGGTGGATGGAAAGCAGAAAACAACACAATGTAAACTAAATTTGAGATATAATTATTTTTCACCTTATAGTCGTAAAGAACAAGAAGGAAATTCTTTAAAACGCAACAAATAAAGATAGAAAATCCTAAAGCAAGTTCAATACTGTGTGTGTGTGTGTGTGTGTATGTGTGTGTCCTGCAGTTTACTTAATTCTTTATTCTTTATTTCAGAGTTTAGGCCCAGTAGGCTGGTTGGTTGAGAATAAGTTCCTAGAATCAGGCTCCCAGGACTCAGATTTTGACCTTACCATTTACTATCTCTGTGACCTTGGGTACCTCACTGAGCTGTGCCTTAGTGTTCATGTACAAAATAGTACCTACTTCAAAGCATTGTTGGGAAGATTACTATAGGTACTATAGGTGATAGGTCTGGGCTGACACTAATAGATTGTTAGTAGTATCTTATGAGTACAATTAATAAACTGTGTTTCAAGGCAAAACAGCAGGTCTTGATCTTACCTAGGGCAAGGAATTTATAAATATATTCATCATTGTTAACTCTTCTACAAAATTGGTATAAGACAATCTATCCTGCAGATTGTTTACTTATTAAGGTCTTGATTATGTGATTTCTTTGCAAAATGTTAAGTTTTGTATAAACTAAGGTCAAAGTTTAGGATGGTGACAACTGAGCAGAGTTGTGAACCTATCTTGATCAGTGATCCTATCCTGAGGAAGGGCATTCTATGCAAAAGGAATAGCTAATGCAAAGGCCATGATGTAAGGAAGGGCTTGCTGGTCATGGTGGGGGGGCATAAAAGAGGCTGAACTGGTTGGAATAGATGGGGCAGGAGGGAAAGTGCAAGGGAAATGGGATGGAGGAATAGCCTAGGTCCAGATGGTTTGGCCCTTGTCAGCCATGAAACAATGTGCAGGAAACCCAACAGAGGGTTCAATGCAGGTAATGGATTCTTGATGTTTTAGAAAGATTGCATGGCTGTTGTGCTAAAATTAGCTTTAGGGAAAGCAAGAGTGGCAAAAGGGAGACCCATTAGGCTACTGCAGTAGTCTAGGTAAGAAGAGATCATCATGCTTTAAGAAATGACTGAACTCAGTATTTGTTGATTACTGGGTATGAGATACAAGTAAAGAGGCAAAGAACAGTGCAACTGGAAGGATATGACATTGGGCAACTGGAAGGATATGGCATGGCTGTATTTCCAAGGTAGGGAGTGCTGTTGGAGAAGCAGGTGTTGGGGGCCAGAGGTGGAGAATTTGTATTTAGAAGTAACATCATTTAGAAGTGACACCTCAGTGTGCAATGTCATGCCACAGAGTTCAGGCATGACGTTGGGCTGTGATACATGCCCTGGATATCACAAGCATGAAAGGATGTGAACTCCCCGAGTAAGCCAGGACACAGAAGAGAAGTCACAGGCCTGAGTTCTGGGTGCTTCAAATTTCAGATGCCAGGAAAAGGAGGTCTCCTGAATAGTAACCCTAACACTGAAAAACAACAAATAACTATCCAAACCTGCTATGATGTAGGTGGCTGATGATTTTCATTTTGAATGGTTTTTCCATGCCAATGCAGTTAGTCATTTATGTTCTCAAAGCACTTTTTAAATTCTATTATCGTACCAAGCAGGTTTAGTCATGTTTATTTTTGTATTTATTGTTGATCCTTCCTTCTAACCTATAAATTTTTGAGAACCAGGACTATGTCCTATTACTGTTTATATCCACCATGCCTGGCGCAAACTGAGGATGATAATATTAATCACTAACATTTATTTAGCCCTTACTGTGTGCCAACATTTTTCTAAAAGCTTCACATATATTAACTCATTTAGAGCCCATAGCAATTGCATGGGATAGATGTTATTACTATCTTCATTTCCCAAATGAGTGAATCCCAAGTCAGAGAGTCATTTGCCTCAAGTTACCCAGATCATATTAAGTGTTGGGCTTAATAAATATTTGTTAAAACAAATAAATATCTCTTAAAGAATGAATGAATAGAAGCTTTGCAAGAGTTTTCACGTCCAAATTTTTCTCCTGAACTCTGAATTGGTCTGACTTACAAGAATGTGGTTAAAACCCAATCTTTAGATAGTATAAGTAAAGGC